GGCTGGAACGGGACGGGACTAGACTTGGCTGGAACGGAACGGGACGTGAAGACTTGGCTGGAACGGGACGTGAAGACTTGGCTGGAACGGGACGTGAAGACGTGGCTGGAACGGGACGTGAAGACTTGGCTGGAACGGGACGTGAAGACTTGGCTGGAACGGGACGGGACTAGACTTGGCTGGAACGGAACGTGAAGTCTTGGCTGGAACGGGACGGGACTAGACTTGGCTGGAACGGAACGTGAAGTCTTGGCTGGAACGGGATGGGACTAGACTTGGCTGGAACGGAACGGGACATGAAGACTTGGCTGGAACGGGACGGGACTAGACTTGGCTGGAACGGAACGGGACGTGAAGACTTGGCTGGAACGGGACGTGAAGACTTGGCTGGAACGGGACGTGAAGACTTGGCTGGAACGGGACGTGAAGACTTGGCTGGAACGGGACGTGAAGACTTGGCTGGAACGTGAAGACTTGGCTGGAACGGAACGTGAAGACGTGGCTGGAACGGAACGTGAAGACTTGGCTGGAACGGAACGTGAAGACTTGGCTGGAACGGAACGTGAAGACTTGGCTGGAACGTGAAGACTTGGCTGGAACGTGAAGACTTGGCTGGAACGTGAAGACTTGGCTGGAACGGAAGACTTGGCTGGAACGGAACGTGAAGACTTGGCTGGAACGGGACGGGACTAGACTTGGCTGGAACGTGAAGACTTGGCTGGAACGGGACGGGACTAGACTTGGCTGGAGCGTGAAGACTGGACAGAAACGGGACGGGACTAGACTTGGCTGGAACGGGACTAGACTTGGCTGGAACGTGAAGACTTGGCTGGAATGGGACGGGACTAGACTTGGCTGGAACGTGAAGACTTGGCTGGAACGGAACGTGAAGACTTGGCTGGAACGGGATGGGACTAGACTTGGCTGGAACGGAACGTGAAGTCTTGGCTGGAATGGGACGGGACTAGACTTGGCTGGAACGGAACGTGAAGTCTTGGCTGGAACGGGACGGGACTAGACTTGGCTGGAACGGAACGGGACGTGAAGACTTGGCTGGAACGGGACGTGAAGACTTGGCTGGAACGGGACGTGAAGACTTGGCTGGAACGGGACGGGACTAGACTTGGCTGGAACGGAACGTGAAGTCTTGGCTGGAACGGGACGGGACTAGACTTGGCTGGAACGGAACGTGAAGTCTTGGCTGGAACGGGATGGGACTAGACTTGGCTGGAACGGAACGTGAAGTCTTGGCTGGAACGGGACGGGACTAGACTTGGCTGGAACGGGATGGGACTAGACTTGGCTGGAACGGAACGTGAAGTCTTGGCTGGAACGGGACGGGACTAGACTTGGCTGGAACGGAACGGGACGTGAAGACTTGGCTGGAACGGGACGGGACTAGACTTGGCTGGAACGGAACGGGACGTGAAGACTTGGCTGGAACGGGACGTGAAGACTTGGCTGGAACGGGACGTGAAGACTTGGCTGGAACGGGACGTGAAGACTTGGCTGGAACGTGAAGACTTGGCTGGAACGGAACGTGAAGACTTGGCTGGAACGGAACGTGAAGACTTGGCTGGAACGGAACGTGAAGACTTGGCTGGAACGGAACGTGAAGACTTGGCTGGAACGGAACGTGAAGACTTGGCTGGAACGGAAGACTTGGCTGGAACAGAAGACTTGGCTGGAACGGAAGACTTGGCTGGAACGGAACGTGAAGACTTGGCTGGAACGGAACGTGAAGACTTGGCTGGAACGGAACGTGAAGACTTGGCTGGAACGGAACGTGAAGACTTGGCTGGAACGGAACGTGAAGACTTGGCTGGAACGGAACGTGAAGACTTGGCTGGAACGGAACGTGAAGACTTGGCTGGAACGGAACGTGAAGACTTGGCTGGAACGTGAAGACTGGACAGAAACGAGACTGGACAGAAACGGGACGGGACTAGACTTGGCTGGAACGTGAAGACTGGGCTGGAACGTGAAGACTGGGCTGGAACGTGAAGACTGGGCTGGAACGTGAAGACTGGGCTGGAACGTGAAGACTGGGCTGGAACGTGAAGACTTGGCTGGAACGTGAAGACTGGACAGAAACGAGACTGGACAGAAACGGGACGGGACTAGACTTGGCTGGAACGTGAAGACTGGACAGAAACGAGACTGGACAGAAACGGGACGGGTCTAGACTTGGCTGGAACGTGAAGACTGGACAGAAACGAGACTGGACAGAAACGGGACGGGACTAGACTTGGCTGGAACGTGAAGACTGGGCTGGAACGTGAAGACTGGGCTGGAACGTGAAGACTGGGCTGGAACGTGAAGACTGGGCTGGAACGTGAAGACTTGGCTGGAACGTGAAGACTTGGCTGGAACGTGAAGACTTGGCTGGAACGTGAAGACTTGGCTGGAACGTGAAGACTTGGCTGGACGTGAAGAGGCGTGGAACCCAGGCAGAGAACTGCAGGAGCAGGCGTGGGACCCAGGCAGAGAACTGCAGGAGCAGGCGTGGGACCCAGGCAGAGAACTGCAGGAGCAGGCGTGGGACCCAGGCAGAGAACTGCAGGAGCAGGCGTGGGACCCAGGCAGAGAACTGCAGGAGCAGGCGTGGGACCCAGGCAGAGAACTGCAGGAGCAGGCGTGGGACCCAGGCAGAGAACTGCAGGAACAGGCTTGGGACCCAGGCAGAGAACTGCAGGAACAGGCGTGGGACCCAGGCAGAGAACTGCAGGAGCAGGCGTGGGACCCAGGCAGAGAACTGCAGGAGCAGGCGTGGGACCCAGCAGAGGCTGCAGCAGCACGAGACCTGCAGGCATAAGCCCCACAGCGTGGACCAGGAAGTGGACGAACGGCAGGAGCGACGCGAGGAAACCCAGCTCGGTGGCAGGTGCTCGACAACCGGTCTGAGCAGGTGCACAGCACGATTCGCTGGATCTCAGGCAGAGGCTTGGGTGCAGGGAAGCAGGAGAAGAGCGGGGAGACCAGCCCTACCACCCCGGAGAACGATGCCGTGCGTAGGGGGTGTAACTCCTTCCAAGCTCCAGGATCCGCGGCTTCCATGACACAAACGGGACGGGGGCAGAAAGCAGGAGAGGAGAAGGGCTCGACCACCACAGGAAACGGACTGGATGCGCCGAAACCCACCCAGAGGCTTGACCACCCCGGAGAACAGGTAGGATGCGCCAACACCCTGGGCCAGAATCTCCTTCTGCTAAAGGAGAAAAAGCAAAAAATAAATCCTCCAGGGATCAGGTGTTAGCTCACCACAGGTCCAGGTTTGGTCAGTTCATTCTGTCACGGTGTAGGAGGTGGAGACGGCGGACCATGTGTGGATGAGCTGAGCAGGAGGAAAAAATGCAGGCTTCAGTAAAAGTAAAAATGGTTTAATGGCAGGATGGGATGAACAGGAACACCAACAAACAACAACAATGAACTGACAAAGGACAGGGGCAAAACAGGTGGTTTAAATACAGAGGACTAATTAGGGAAACATGGGCAGGTAAACGAGGGACAGGTGAGAACAATAAGGGTAATCGTGGCAGGAGAGGAACACAGTCAGGCGGGCAGGGGCAGATCGTGACACTGTGGAAACAGCAATTTTCCATTTTAGAGCATTTTGAAATCACTGAAAGTTTGGTCGTATATGGGCAATTTTAAAAGGCCTTTATTTTGGAAGGCAACATCAGAATGACTTGATATTGATACAGTATCACTGTGGGGTTGTATACTGTTGATCTAAAGTGGAATTACCCTGTGGAAACGGCAATTTTCCATTTTAGAGCTTTTTGAAATCGTTAAAAGAGTTGGTCAAATATGGGCAATTTCAAATTGCTGTGGTTTGATAGTGTTGATACAAAATGCAACTGCTCTTTGGAAATATGACTTTTGCTTTTAAGAGCATTCTGAAGTCATTGAAAGAGTAGTTCAAAAATGAAAATTCAAAGGGCTTTTACTTTGAAATTTAAAATAAGATGGCCTTGATATTGACAGGGCGCTAATAGTGAACAAGCCTAAATTATTTGTTATTATGTTCTTAAAATATCTGATAATTCACTCAAAGTTGAATTTTATTTTGAAATCCGGTTTCCACATCCCTTCCCGTAATACTTTGAATAGATGGGGAAGCGACAATAAACGAGGCTGGCTTGACTGCAAGTCTCCAACTGGAGGCTGGCTTGACACCAGTAAGAGATGCCAGGTGTGATGTTTGTGAGGAAAACAGTGGTGATTAGCTTTCATTAAAACCCAGAGGTATTCGTTTCTATAATTATCAAGATCTTTGTTCCGTCTCAAGAATAATAAGGAACTTTGGATTTGTTCAGTCTAGCTGCAGCTTTTGTGATCTACAAATATATGAGGTTCCAAATATGCTAAAATGTGTTTGTCTATGATACCTTATCTGCACAAGTGTGTTAACATTAGGGTCATTTTACTTCTGTGCATAAATGAGTAACATGTTATAAGATTTAACGCTGTTTGTTTTATTAAATTGTTCTGTATTGCTGTAAAGTTATCGTCTTCTGAAGTATTAGAATAGAATAGAATAGAATAGAATAGAATAGAATAGAATAGAATAGAATAGACTTTGATCCCACAGTGGGGAAATTCACTCGTTGCAGCAGCACTAACATTTAAGAGAATTATTTGAAGAAACATAATAACAAAGGTACATGTATATACACACATAGATAGTAATCAAGTATTGTAACCTTCGACTACTAAAAACCACGAATAAAAAAAAAATTCATGTGTAGAAAAGCGTCTTGCAGGAACCCAGGAAGCAACAGGCTAAACACATGGAAATAAACAATGCACACATTTTCTTTCTTGCAACAATCTTGGGTAATTATTACTCATTTAGAATTTGTTTTAGCCTAATGACATCAGATTGGCTAATGAAGCAGCCAGACAACATAAATGAGATAATTTGACAATGGGTTTTAACAACATAGTCAGATAACGTCATG